AAAACATATAAGTCATCAGACATCCCACCTGTTTTGGTCGCCTCAGCAACATGTCTTTGCATCTCTGAATCCTTGCCGATGCGGTGTGAAAGTCTTTCTGAGCCACGGCCTGGGTGAATGCACGCAATGGTTAAGTCTTTTGAATGTGACAGTTGCCTTTAAATATTTATTTCTTCTTACACTATGGGCCCCATTTAGAGCCACTTAAAATGCACCGGGACACCCTAAAGACAGACATGCAGCATTTCCTCCAATGCGGGGCACCACAACGCAGGGTAGTAACGTGCATTGTTATGGTAACGCAATGGAGGGGTGTGAATGGGCCTCACGCCTCATGGTTCACAGACTGAAATATATGTCCTGTTACAAAAATGCTTCTTCTTTCTACTGCAGCAGATTGTGGGGCCACTTTTAGGAGATTCGTTTCAGGAGGCTAAGCTCTCTGAAAACAACAGGAAAATGGCCCAAGAATCTCCCAAATGAGTCATTTGTAAGCAATTACAGAGACCCTGTCACCAGGCAAAAGCTCAGAACAATCAGGAATCTTAAATGTTTACTTGGTTCCTATTCACTTGCAATGTGCCTCTGAACTTGCTGGGGAATTGACACCCCAGAAAGAGTCAATTCCTTTTATATTAGGTCCCCTCCTCTTCTGGCAACGTCTACTGTCTGTGCTGGCCCAGTTCCTCTGCTCCGCCCCTTACTTCCCTGCATAACCTCTTATGTAGCTGTTAGGGAAGGTGCAAAGGGGAATTTTATAAAGTGTCACCTGAGTAATAGCAGAGTCTCTTAACATCACATCCAAGATGGTGGCGGCCAGCAGCAGTCTTGGGGCTTTTGGATGTCTACACCGGGGAGGCTTTTACAGGTAAATAGCATGCATGCAATACATTAAGGGGGTTATTCACAAAGGAGCCGAACGATCCAGCCGTAGCTTCAGCTAATCCTTCGGCTCTCTTTGGCCGCCGGAGCCCTTCGGTTCAGTCGAACTGAAGGGCTGCTGTACGGGCTATTCACTGTAGCCTGCACAGCAGCTGAAGGTGGCCGGGCGGCTCAGCCGAGCCGAAGGCATATGCTCCGGCTGGACTGAGCCGAAGTGGGGCAAACGGCTGGCTCCGCCCAGTTCTAATGACAGATCAGCGTCCCCAAATGACCTGGAGACACTGATCTGTCATTAAACAATAACAACTGGGCGGAGTCGGCTGTGAAGTCATGGCCGGCTCCGCCCAGATGTTATTCATTGGCCGGGACCTGCTAGAAGTCTAGCAGGTATCGGTCAATAGGAAACTGTTGGGCGGAGCTAGCTGCTCTGCCCAATTGTTTTTTTATTATTATTATTTTTTAAAATCTTTATTTATTTTTTAATTTTACTATTTATTTACATTTAAAAAATGTTTAAAACATTTTTTTTTTTATTCTACTATTTTCACTGATTTGCTATTCTGCTCGGTACCACGGAGGTACCGAGCAGGATAGCCGAGCCGAATGCCACTTGGCGGCATTCGGCTATTCACTCACTGCCGTTCGACCCCTATGTAAATAGGGGGAACGGCAGCGAGTGAACTGCCGGAGTTTTGGCTCAGCTGATCCAGATGTTGGATCGGCTGAGTCGAAGTCCTTCTGCACTGCGGCTGCAGCCGATGGCAGCCGATGTACGGCTGAAGTCAGCCGCACTGAGCCGAAGAGAATAGCGGTCCGTAGTTCGGCTGACTTCACTTCGGCTGGGTTATTCACTCGGCTGCCTTCGGCAGCTTTGTGAATAACCCCCCTAAATGCACATATAATCTTATGGGAAGATGGCGGTTGACACGAATGGTCTTTTGACAGGGTCTCTTTAAAGATCAACTCCTGCTTCCATTCAAGTCTATGGCGGTTATATTTAAGAATGTCATTAGCGTGTTGATTGGGTGGGTGGTGGTTGGGTGTGGGGGCACCTAGGGAAGGCAATATATATTCAGACTAGACTTCAGATTTACAATGAATGGGACTTACAGCCTCGGCCTGATATGTCAGCAGTTTAAAGAGTTCCCCCTCCACGCGGTCTTTGTACAAGTTCACATCTGTCTTCTGATGGCTTCTCTGAGTCATCATGGAATAAAGCTTCTCTAGACTCTGGTAGAGACATGATGGAAAGGCTCAGCATGATGAGTAATCGGCAGGCTCCAGTCTGATCAGCTATCGTGTTTAACTTACATTCAAGGAAGTTTCCAGTAATCCAGACGCACGTTCTGGCCTTCCAACATCTATCCAACCCTTTCCAGTCTTCATGGCCATCTGAAGGAAAAAGTGATCCTGAATATTTCTAATGATAGGAGATCGTGACCTTCAGGGTACAGAACCACGGGGCAGGGGTCATGGAACTGAGCAAAAAGCTCATAGAAGGATTGCACGGCCCCTAGTGGTTGGTTACATTCAGCTAGGACATGCTCTGTAATGTTGAAGGCCTCATCCAAGGGTCTACCTTCAATTGTAATGCGTGTCGGGAAGATCCCTCTGTATCTCATCAGGTCTCCCTAATCCAGTCACTATGGAATGTGTCAAGGTAGATGATGCTTGGCCCAGAACATGATGGGAGGTGTCCCCGCCCACCGCAATTTGGATAGCAGCAACTGGCTGTGGGTTTGGAACTTGTTTTAATTTAACAAAATGTAATGAAAAACGCGTTTTGCTAAATGAAATGTCTAATATTTCTTCTTTTTTGAAATGTGTAGTCGCGAGGTGCGCTCTTACCAGAATTTTCCTTTCCAAGCTCGCCTCCGATGGGTCGGGGCCTTCACACCAGCAAAGAAGGGTAAAGGACATATGACGTACTGCAATGTAAAGGAATGAGCTTTCAGAAATCACACGATGATATATAAACTGAAGTACAAATCCATAACTATGTCAGGGTAGAGCCCCGGGGCCATGCTAAAAAAAATATGAAACTGAATTCTGCGTTTAAAAGTCAAAATTCTGTGTTTGGAAGTCAGAATTCTGAGGTTCAAACTCAGAATTTTAAAAACAGAATTCTGAGATTAAAAGTCAGAATTCTGACTTTTAATCTCAGAATTCTGACTTTCAAACACAGAATTCTGACTTTTAAACTCAGAATTTTGACTTTTAAACTCAAAATTCTGACTTTTGATCTCAGAATTCTGACTTTTAAACACAGAATTCTGACTTTCAACTTTTCAACATTGAGGAACCTGGCCTTGGGGCAGCAGAGAGAGTAAATTCTGGCCTGGGTGCCGCACCACTAAGGGACAGTGCCCCTTTAGTTAGGTTATGCCCAATTCAGACCCATCAGCGCGGACCTGCAGTTACAGGAAGCACAGCCAATGGCTGCTGTCACATGTAAACAAAGAGCCGGTGCAGGGAAAGTTACGCTGCTCACTTCCTTTGCTGGGCTCTGACTAATGACTCATGTGAGGCAGAGCCTGGCAGAGGAAGTGAGCATTGTACGCATTCCTATGGCCCTGGCTGCTAGTTTACATCGGCTGAGCTGTCTGTCCCTGCAATCACTTGGGGTCTGCGCTGAGGGGAGGTCATTCTGTACCCTGTGCTGTACATTTCTAGTTCTGCACCAACCTTTAGACCGCCAGCAGCTCTAGTGTGTGTGCGTGTGTCTCTGGGTGTGCTAGAACTGGGTCAGATGTTTGGACAAAGGTGCAATTTTAGGGTTTGCCATAGGCACTTATTACCATAGATACACCCCTGGTAGTGCCTACGTCATTTTGAGGTTTGAGCCAGTACTGAGGGTGACAATGCTGAGGATAATTCCACATCTCTGTTACAGCGTTGTCACCCATGTACGGGAAGAGCCCCCAACATGCTGTCACAGCTTAAACTGACATGAGTTGCATTATTGTTCTTGTCATTTACCAGATCGGTTTGATTGTTCCTTTCACCAAGTCCTTGTTAAAGTTTACTGAGTGAGTCCTGATGAAAGGAAGGGGGGGGTCTTGCTTGACCCTTAATCGTGTTGGACATATTATGTGCTCGTATGAAGAACAATTAAAGGGATTTGGGCTCTTTCACCATTTGTTTCTAGTAACCAGATACAAAGTGTCCTATTTACCCAGAGCCTTCTCCATCTCAGTAATGGTATGTTCTGCCCTCTTGGCGACTCCCCAGTTCCACAGGTTGATGGCGCATTCTTCCACCTACAGAGTAAAGACGATGGTAATTGGAGGAGAGGGACCCGTGTGACCTTACAATGTAAAAATTCATAGAGACAACATACATTGTAACATATATGATGACAGAACATACTCCTTCTGCTCGCTATTATTCTACAATCTTCTGTCAACTACAATGCTACAAACAGCTCTCGGTTTGTATCAGCGGAGGTCCTCCAGACTGAGTAAGACTGTGTTAGGCATACTAATTTCAGTGCTGGCCGGGACGACCAGAGGCTCTGAGGGTAATAAATCTACTTTTATTAAACCAGCTAAACAAATGCCAGCCAGGAACGAGGTTCTGTGACCAGAGATGACCATTCTGAAGTCTCCTCCTGTACATCTAACATTCTGTATTGGAAAGGTCATGGGGGGAGGGGTATGGGGTCAGGGTCAGCGGCTTCTCCATTTCTTAATGCATTGATGGATTTGTGTTATCTTTGCATGCACCCAAATATGTATGTGTAAATGGCTTCACTAACGGAGCCCCATTCCACCACCGGGCCCCATAGCAGCAGAGTGGTCTGCTACAGCTTTTGTTATATGACTGGTTGGGATAAAAATGGAAGGACCAAAGGGTGAGGGATCACTGGGCTTCAGGTCTGAACACCGCATATAAAAACAGCAGCCCAGCAACGACCTATAATGGATTACTTTTCTATGTATGTTGTACAGTTTTATTATCACCAGGGCCGTCCCTACCCTATATGATGGTGGTGGTGGGGGCTTTGGGTGCTGCTATCAGTGCTTGCCCGAGGGTGCTGCTGATTGTGCTGGGTGGGGGGCTGGGGTGCTTTGCGACAGATGAGGATCTTCCAAAGAAATTCAAACTTTATTCCTTTTGCATCTATACAAATAACAACCTCTGATCCATTTCTGCATTACCCGGCCTTAGTCATAGGGAGCCGTTGTTACAGCAGCATCGTCAAGCGGTGAGGAGAGAGAGAGCTGCTGGCTGTCAGATCCTGGCCGAGCGGCTCTCTCTCTCTCATCATCGCTCGGCCATCCTAAAGTGACAGCGGCTCCCTCCTCCGCCCCCCCTCGCGGCTGCAGCGCTTCACTTCTCCTTGGATCCCCGCTAGGGTTGCCACCTGTCCCGGATTGACCTGGACAGTCCTGGTTTTGAGTCCTGTATGTGCTGTATCGAGGTTTCAGGCCAGCTGAAGCCCAGACGCAGCACATACAGGACTCAAAACCAGGACTGTCCAGGTGAATCCGGGACAGGTGGCAACCCTAATCCCCGCTACCTCTGTCCATACAGAGCAGCGGGTTTCCAGAGGAAAAGCTGCAGGCTGTGCCACCCCATTTCTCAGCGCTATGCTGAGCCCTGACTGCACCCCCCTCCCCCAGCACCTACACCCAAGGCGAGAGCCTCAGTCGCCTCATCCTCACTATGGCCCTGATCACTGGGGACTATTATATAATGAAAGCTGCAGATCTAGAAATGACAATAAGGTGTTAATCTTCTATGAGAGGTCAGTGGTTGGCTTTATATCAGAGCAGACTGCTGACAGAGATGCTCATAAATGTTCCACAAGAGCAGACACATTGAGGTGTGAGTCAGCGCCCCTCAGTATGTGCTGATTATATAAAACACGAGGCACCACCCTGGTATTGGGTGGGGGGGTGGGGGGGTGCTGCGTCCTCTGTTTGGGAAATTACCTCCTTGTTGTATATGAGCACGCTGAGCGTAGTGTGAAAGGGGCATGCCGAAGCTTGCCATTATCATGAACCTTTTATTCTCCATGATCATCATAGACATGGAGGAATATCAAAACGTTCCCAACAATCCTCCTCCAGACGCTTCATCCTCCATACCTCGTATTGTGTGAGCTGTCTGTTTTCCAGGTCAGGACAGGAAGTGACGGGAAATCTCCCCAGCGGGGAAACAGACAAAAACTTCAGTAGTCAGGGAAAGAGTTCAAATCTTCAACATAGTTTTATTGCCTGAATCTTTCTCATGGGATTCGTCCCGCACCGGAGATGTTGTCTCATCCGAGGTCCAAGTGGCAGCCTGTCCGAGCATGCCGCAAAGGATGATGGGCCGGTGGCCCTAGCAGCCACCGGGCTACTATACTGCAAGATGCCACCAGGTTGTGGCCCTCAGGATCACCCCACCAAGGGTAGGCAGGAACGGATAGGTTAAAGTGAGGAGACAGAATGGCAGCAAGCGGAGTTGTCGGGTTCAGGTGGAGGTTGAGGCAGGTAGCAGACAAGGATAGTCACTTTTGCAGGCAGAGGTCAAAGCAGGCAGCAGGAAAGCACAGTCAGTTTTAAGGCAGAGGTCACCACAGACAGCTGGCAAGTATAGTCAGTTTGCAGGCAGAGGGAGGCAGCAGACAAGGATGGTCAGTTTGCAAGCAGAGGGTAGGGCAGACAAGGACGGTCAGTTTGCAGGCAGGGGTAGAGGCAGGCAGAGGGTAAGACAGACAAGGATGGTCAGTTTGCAGGCAGGGGGAGAGGCAGGCAGAGGGTAGGACAGACAAGGACGGCCAGTTTGCAGGCAGGGGGAGAGGCAGGCAGAGAGTAGGGCAGACAAGGACGGTCAGTTTGCAGGCAGGGGGAGAGGCAGGCAGAGAGTAGGGCAGACAAGGACGGTCAGTTTGCAGGCAGAGGGTAGGGCAGACAAGGATGGCCAGTTTGCAAGCAGAGGGAGAGGCAGGCAGAGGGTAAGACAGACAAGGATGGTCAGTTTGCAGGCAGGGGGAGAGGCAGGCAGAGGGTAGGACAGACAAGGACGGCCAGTTTGCAGGCAGGGGGAGAGGCAGGCAGAGAGTAGGGCAGACAAGGACGGTCAGTTTGCAGGCAGAGGGAGAGGCAGGCAGAGAGTAGGGCAGACAAGGACGGGCAGTTTGCAGGCAGGGGGAGAGGCAGGCAGAGGGTAGGGCAGACAAGGACGGCCAGTTTGCAGGCAGGGGGAGAGGCAGGCAG